AAACAGGTTGTTGTGTGCCCACTACACACAACTAACATTGGCTTTGGGTGTGTCCCTTACCCCTCCAGGGCTTCTCATATATATCCCTGCTTATCTCTGTCTCACTAGTGCCACAGACAAAAGGGGAAGATTCACCCATGGATCTCCATGTAGAGGCACATAAGGACTGTTATTTATCACTCCTTTCATGTGAAAACGGCGGTGCGGCAGGGCGGGCAAAATCCCAGCTCAGCACTTGAAGGATCGCTGATGCTATCCTGCATCTCTGTCAGCTGCGAACACCTCAGTGTCCTGCAGGATAAAACCATACAAGGGGTGTGCTTACAGTGTTCATTGTGCAGGCTGGGAGCAGCTAGGCAGTATATCATCCTTCCGGAAAATGGCCAGGACAGCAGCTCCAACATCAGCTACCTTGTTGAACAGCACTCTGTAATACAGCAGATGAAATTCAATTGCTTCCCAAAGAGCAAAGCAGATGCCTTCGCCATCATGACCTGTCACACGAAGAATTATAAGCCATGAGCATGAGAAAGATTCAGCTTTCCTGCTTGGCCAACAAAATAAAATAGTCGCTATTTTTGGGAAAGCAAAAGTGTCGTTCTGGGACAGTACAGACATAGTGGCTGCTCAGAGAAAGAGAGGCTGTCACACAGTTTCTCTGCTGGCACTGCAATGCCAGCAAGACTCTCCTCCCTTGAGCACGTATTTGAAGAGTGTGTGGTGCTTGCCAGCTGAATCACAGCTGTTGGTACAGAGAAGATTGATGGGAGGGCAGAGGCAGGTAAGTTCAGCAGGAAACATGACCAGTTTTTTTTGCAAAGCAGTCCTTTGCTGTATGAGGGGAAATTATAGCAAGAACAATGAGTAGAAGGGAATCCTGGACAAACTGCAACTGGAATATGGCATCCATCTGAATGAGAAATGGGAAAATAGATCAGGCAAGGAGCAGAGCAGTAGAGAATAAAGTTTAGAAGACATATGAGGGTTTGTTTAAGGCAGGCAAGGAAAGATTAAGGAGATATAAAGGGGAATGTAGGATTTGGCTAGCAGCTGGGAGGCAATCAGGAAGCCTGTAGTGGGTCTGGGAGAGGAAATAGAGTGAAGAATAAGACAAAAATAGAGGGCAGGTAGAAACAGAAATGAAGATATTGCTGCACCAAGTTTGCACAGGCTCTTGAGATGATGGTTACTGTAGTGCCTATGTGCTGTGCTCCCTAACTCCTCCAAGCTGGGAGCACAGAACAGATACCCACATTTGCCCTGCATGAATCCTGCACAGCTCTGCAGGAATTACAGGCTTCTTGGCCTCAGATTTTCACCTCCCCAGTAAGTCCTGCTTATATATTGGCAGCTATGTGCTATAGAGCCCAGGAGCCACTACCTGAAAGGCAATTATTTACTTAATGTTCATAAATTAATATCCAGCTTTTGAAGTCATCTGGCTCTTTAGGCTTGGGTGAGATGCTCTCTCTCTTTTTTTTTCTTTTTTTTTTTTTTTCTTCCCAGTGCACATGAGATAGTGTGGAGCTGTTGATGTGTTTAGTACAAGTTTATCTTGAAGACATCTGCTTATGCCAGGGGAATAGTATGAACTCCCAGTGACCTGTAGAGCCTGCATTCCTAATTAGCTGAGAAATATTCCATAATCAGGGTATTGCCATTTCAATGGAGTCTAAAGATAGAAAGGTCATGTTCTTGTCTGGGGTCACAAATAATCACTTCTGACTATATAGTTTCATTCTGACCTAGAGTTAACCAGGTGCAAAGCTGGTAAGCAGCAGGACAAGATTACACTGTCTCACAGAGTACATCTACCCCGAGGGTTTGCCTTATGTTTTTCAGTCACTATTTTTTTCTTCCAACCTCTAACAAACATGTAGAAACCCTTCAAGCGTGACTGAGTAAATGCTTTGAAACAATGCTGGCTTTTAGGCTGCTTTGCTGCAGGCCATCCGCCCCAAGAAGGTGCAACAAGCACAAAAAGCTGAGAATGTGCCCTCCAGTGACGCTCACACCACCAGCACCACCTGCCAGCCCTTCCTGCCACTCACTCCCCATTTGCCTCCTGCCCACCTGTGTGTTGGGCTATTCTGGTTATTTTATTTTATTTTATTTGCCCCCTGACTTTTTTTTTTATTCTCCAGAGCAGCATTCAGCTTCTGGAAGCACCCAGCCTCCTCCATCCACTGCACTGCTTCACCACAGTGAGGAGGCAGAAACTGATTTCTCTAAGGGTTTCCACCACATGGACCCTCTCCACCACAGCAAGACTTTGGGCAGGAGCAACTCTGGCACAGGGAACCGTTCCCAGCTTGCTTCAAATTGCTGACTGTAGTGGAAGCATTTCAGTTTGGAGTTTGGCAATGTTGATTGTAGCTTCCCAGAGGAAGAGCTTGGCTATCTGTGGTTTAAATACCCTGAATGTCTTCTGTGGTGCAAATACAGACACAAATGCACTCGGGGGGGCGTGGGGAAAGGTGAATATACCATATATACCAACATAATATACCATAACTGGATGGATAGCATGTGTAGGAGAAAAAGAAACAAATGGCCATAGACAGTAACAGAGCTGCTCACCCAGACTGCAGGCTGATTTGAAGGGGATATCTTATCTTTCCATCTCTCACACTCTCTGACTGGGCAATCTGTCACTACATCTCTACCCTGGAGGACATCAAAAACTGTAAATCTCTGTACCTATGCCTTGTTCCTTCCTCCAACTGAGTTGTTTCAGGCACAAATGTAGGTTAGAACATTTCTCATATGGCTAAGCATACATTTATGTCTGGGAAAAGGCACTCCACTGATTTGATGCCTTTGCCAGAGGGTTTCTCCCCATCTTCAGAACATCTCTTTAACAGCAGGGTCTGAGAATTGGATTAAGTTTGTGTGATGGATCTGTATGGCTTCTCTACAGAGCAGGCTTTCTCTGAAAGAACACCTTTGGTTACAGGAATGGGCTCCCAAACTGGAAAGCAGTGGCACAAAAGCCACCAAGGAAGTGTTCACCCAACACAAGAATATTTCCTAGGAAGTTGTGTGTTGTTGCTGTGGAAATTATAATTACAGTTCAATTAACACTTGAAGATCAGGGTTTTCTTTTTGCCAGCAGTCAGGCTTCCTGGTGTTACCTGCAGGAATCCTGCTGTGGATTTATAAATAGGGTGACATGGTCTCAGACAGATAGGTATCTGCCCATCCTTCTCCTCATCTCAGCTACATGCAGTCCAAACTCTGTGAAATTCTCCTGGGAGCCCTTGAGAAATGTTCTTGCTTACCAAAAAAAAAAAAAAAAAAGAGAGAAATTATTCTGAAAAAAAAAAAAAAGAAGCATTGGTTGGTGAAATAAATTACATTGTAAAAAATCCCATTGGCAACCTCTGGGAAATTCGCAATGACTGTTTCTTTGTCCAGGGTCAGTGCCTCTTTGGCATGTCCCCTTACAGACTGCATATGTTTGCAGATGCTCACTGTTATATTTGTTGTTTTGTTTGCACAGGGAAATAGTATCAGCATTCCATTTTTTGGGTTGTCTACAGCACAGTGAAACTATGATGGCTGACGTAGTTCTTTCAGGAGTAGTATTCAAACAGTGATTACTGGAACTGAATAATTCAGAATGTTTTCAGATAATCTTTGCTTAGGGTCCTGATCTTCCCAAGAAAATGCTCATACTTCATTTTTTGCTTGCACAGTCACAAAGAATTAAATGGGAGCATGACAGCACATTGAAAGCTATGACTATCATAAATCACCTTTCTGCATCATGGCCTCAATCACTGTGTGTTAATAGATATTTGATGGGGGGAAAATGAGTAAATAAGTTTGCTTTGGCCCCATCTAAATTCCTTTTGTTTTCAGTGATAGTCTGGAAAATAGATCTTTGGTAACAAAATAACGATGACAAAAAAAAGTCAAGAGGAAACAGTTTTTAAAGCCAGATATGGAAGTTCTTCTGAAAACCCAGTTGTATGCTTACATAAACAAGGATTCAGCTGAGGTATCTGCACAGTGTTCCTGTCAGGAAACAGCAGTGATGCAAATGATTTATCAAAGCACCAGCCACTACATGCCGTGGATATTTGCTCTCAGTCCACAGTGTTAAAGATTAGAAAAGGTATCTGTTGAATTCATTTGAATAGCAAATAGACTGGGGAATCACAATCTGTTCTCAGCTATTCAATGGATGAAAAAAGTAATTTATTGAATATATTAGTCTCTCAATTCTAGCAATTATTAGAGCAGAGTTAGAGATCTGAAGACAATTATTTCAGGTTCTATATATAATTTCTACAAGCAACCGATAAGTGATGTTAGTGCAAGCACTTCCTGGCTTCTAGCTCAGTCACAAGTAGTTTGTAACAAATCCTCCCCTCTCCCTCTTCGGAGGCTGGCTGACAGTGCCCTCAGCCAAGCACTGGTGTAAGGATTTCAAAGATCAAAGCACGGGTTAGCCACATTATTCTTGTGGAATTAGATTTTTGACCCCTGTTTGTAACTCACAAATTACAGTTATGAAACTTAGTCACCTACAATGCTTGCAAATGAATTTCAACAACCAATTGAACAGCTGAGCTAATCCATATTAGTAAACAGGGAAAGGAATCTTGGACATTTGCATTTTGCATAAAAGCATGACTTAAAAGTACTTCAAGGACAACTGGTAGAAAAAAAGCACTTTGGGGAGAGGAAAGACACCGGAGTTGTGAGCATCTGGTATTTTCAGGACCAGTGTTCAGTTTTTGCATAATTTGGTCAGAAATTAAAGCAGATTTTCCAACCTTCTTATCAAAGAGCTTTTCTCCCAAGTGTCCATCCTCTTGGCAGCCCCTGCATGGAGACACCAAGCTCCCAGTCATCTTTCCCTTAGAAGCCATTTCATCAACTCAAGTCAGAAGCAGCTGGATGCCTACAGAAGAATCTGGAAAGCCATCATTACATGTGGAAAGAAGAGGAGAGAGCACCAAAGAGATGGTGGATTGCCATTTTGTACTCACCCAATTAATATGCTCCTTCCTCCATTTGCTCTCTTGGTCTTTCCAGTCTCCATAATGCCTGGTGAACAGATCAAGGGGTGGAGCTGAACTGGTTACCGTCACCTTATAACATCTCTCCTATAAACACATAGTACTAGCACAGGCAGAAGGCACTGTCGTGCTGATCATCATCCTCTGAGTCAGCCATTTACAACCACCTTCTCCAGGCTGTCATCTTGCCACTACAAATTCAAAATCTGAGTCAGAACCCAATTTAAACTGCTATAATTAACAGTCCCAATTTAACCAAACCTAGCAGTTTGTCATGTTGCATTCTCTGCATACATCTGAGCATCTTGCATTTGGGCTACTTTGTTCCCTGCTCATCCCCTTCTGCTGCCAAGCAGCTCAGGTCCGAAGAGCATCAATGGATTTAGGCTCCCATCAGGGTAGAGTCTAACAGCAGCCAAACTATAAAATTCAGCCATGCTGGATTTCTTTGCTTGTTAAAAAGCAAAGTACCAAATGTCACAGAATGGGTGCTGCTGTGTGCTAATCTATAAATACTGATGAGTCAAAAGGGGGTGAAGTTCTGCAAGTGATTTGTCAGTGAAGAAGAGTTATTGTATAATGGAGTGGCCCACTGCAATGAGGCATCTCTAGGGCAGAGAGCCCAGGCTGGCAAGGAAAAAGCCTGGGTGCTGTTTAAGGGAAAGATAGGTGGAAGCATCTTGCTTGTTGGTGAGCCCCAGGAAACTTGCACAAGCCAGGTTTTCTATGTGGAAGATTATTGTTTATCAAACAAGCTAAAACTGAGCACAATTTCCCTTATCATTTCTATATACGCCTGTTGCTAACAAATGCTTTGCTCTGAAGAGGGCTCTGGTCACTGTGGATAGTTTAGAGTGCCCCTGCCTTCACTTTAAGGGAATTCCCTGCTTTATTTTTGGGGAATTGCAAATAGGTGACTTACAGATTAACTCATGTTTTTGCAGCCACAGGTGATGCCAAAAGTGTGGGCGTAAACATATTTTTGAAAAATGTGTCTTTTTGAGATTTAGGGAAGGTTTTTTCCCCTCCACCTTCTCTCCGTTGCTTCCTTTCCTTTCTCTCACCATCCAGTTTGAATGACTTATTTGGTCTTTGCATTTTTGTGTTTGTTTTTGCAGTGCAGTCTGGAGGTCACCACTAAGAGGTTCTGGCTCTTGACCCAAGTGCACTGGAAAACCATCCGCTGCCCATATGTGTCTACAATCTGCATGTGATGTGAATGGACTAACAGAGCTAATTCATACATAATTCATACAGCAGATCAGCAGGCAAGCTGGAATAAACTCCATGTCTCCAAATCTGATTTAAGTAACCTATGCCCTAAGCTGCACCCACTCTGCTCTCTCAACACTCTGCTGTGATCCCACTCCATCCCATGGCTTCCTTCCCACTGTGCGTAACGTTCTGTGAACACATCCAGTTGAGCCCACTTCAATGGACTATTTTTTATCATACTTATACATTGCTCTATGTCCTTACTGAAATACCTACATGTCAAAAATTATAGGAATTTTTTAAGGAGTCATTGACAAACCCATGACTCCCATGCTGGCTGTGTCAGACATTTGTGTTTAGGTGCCAATCAATGTGTGGTCTTCTCATGACGTTCTCATTATTATTTTAGCTTCAGTTTCTATGATCATTATATATCTTGGGGGAGAAACATAAATATATTTTTGACATTACTTTTCAAATGTCTACAACTGCACATTTCCACACTGCCTCAGGAAAGTGCACAGTGCTCTTCCAATCAAACTGTTGTTCTTCACTAGCTATTATAGAATGTATGTATACACATAATAGTCATATAATATTATAGCTCTGAATATGTGCTTGCATCTGCAGAAAAAATCCGATGGAGTTCCCATTTATACTCACAGTGACCAAATTGAGAAGTAAAAAAATCTTGCTTCATCCTACATCTTTTTACTTCAGTGAATTAGTTTTATTGATTGTTGCAAGTCTTAATTTTAAATTCAGTTTTGATGAAAAAAGTACCTGATCTTTTGCCTGTAATTATGCAAAATATATTTCTATCAAGTGGAAGGAAATACAATTTGTAAAATTATCAATTGCATAATGATTACAGTGGAGAAATATATTCTCTAATATAATTCGTTAAATGGAGGAATTTAATATGAAATAGTAGATTTCCAAATTTATACAAATAACACCAGATGGTGAGCAGCTAGTTTTAATTAAATTAGGTTTGATAATTATAGCTGTTTAATTTTTAGGTTTGACTCAGATTAGAAAGAATGTATTATTTCCCTGTATATTTATTTTTAGTTTTCTTCCAAGGTTTGGATATTGCATTATTCACTGTGGCTTGGAGCATCAGAGAGCTGTGGTCAACTTTCTGGCAGCTGATTTCAGCCAGCCTTGGTTCTGCTTCAGCAATCCAGAGGATGTGGCGTGCTGGGGTCCCCTGATGGGAGTCAGAGGGAGTTTTGCCAATGGAAGTGGGAGGGAGTTTCTCTACCCGAATATGTTTTCACAGGTCAATCTGTGGACTCCAGCACTTCATTTCAGCTGCTTTTGAGCAAAGGAAGAAGCCTGATGAGAACGATGCCTTTGTGGCTGCCACGTGCATTTCTTCACTGTGACTGCAGTGATCCATTTGCACACACACACGTGTCTGCACTCCCTGCAGTTTGTGTCCTGCAACATTCCCTCTGGGAGGACCCTGCAAGGGCTCCAGCCTGTCCAGCCTCAGAGCAGTAAAATGATGAGCCCTGGCACTGGTACTCTGCTCTGACACACCCTTTTCCACCACTACTGCTTTCCAAAAGTTCCTCTGGTCCTGTCCCAACCTTGAGCTCACCAGTCACTCAGTGACTCCACTGAGCCATGGAAATATGCTCAAAGCTAAAAATGTATCCAAGTCCTTTTTAGAACATGGATGGAGTCCAAAGCCTGTCTCTCAGGACCAGCTCCCTGCTAATCAATGGTCACAATCCCAAAAGAATCACCTCCTGCCTTTGGAACAAGCTGAGTATGATCAGGATCCATATAATCGAGTCCATTGACAGGTTTGGCAGTTGCAGCCACAAGCCCAAATGAACGCTCTCACCATCTTTGCAGGTCACAACTGCAAAAAGGGTCCTGGCTGCAGTGATGTCTGTGGACACTCAGCTTCTCCCCAGCAGTGGGTGGTGCAGGTTGAAAGATGAAAGAACAGCTGTGGGGCGTTTGCTCAGTGGATGGTCTGATGCTCAGGGGAAAAAGAACTCGTTCAGTGTGACTGAGCTCGTGGCACACTTCTCGATTTCTTGAGCTGTTAATCCGTCTCCTGGAGTCTGTACACCATAAAACAGAGGTGGGTGCGAAACAAAGAGGTTTGAGTCATTGTATCATCACAGTTCAAAGGCACTCGGAATATGGTAATTGTAATTGAATACTATAATTGTAATCGAACATATAATTGAGAACTTCAGTGTTGCAGTTAAAAGACGTGTTCAGGATCTGCCTATAACTCCTGGAAATCTTCAAATGCTTGTGACTTCCAGCACAATTTTAGTCTGAAAGAAGCCAGCCCAAGGGCTTACTCCATTTCAGATGACATTAAGAAACTTAAAAGTTTCCTTAAATCATCCCCCCTACTTCAGCTTTCTTAGAGCTGGCACTTGGACTGGCACACAGGCAAGGTGGTGCTGTCCTGCCTTCTCTCTTTAAAGTCCTTTTTCTTTTATCTCAGTTTTCTCTCAGCATGGTTCTTCTTCCATTATCTGCCTAGTGCAAATCCTGTCTCCTGCTCTGCTTTCTCTTTTTGTGTGTTCTGAAAGGCAGCCTCCCTGAATTTGGATGATATTGATTATGTAAATCAGCACTTCTCTTCTAGATTGCTTTTTCTTTGTGAACTGGGAGCATAATTTGCAGTCTTCTACCTGATAATTGTGAGGATAATTTGAGCTGTCTCTTTGTGGAGTCATCAGTGACTGTTTTAATTTCCATATGTGAGCAGTGCTCTTCTATTTTTAATTTTTTTCCCAATCCTGCCTCCTTCTAAACTACTGGATGGATTTTGCTGTTCATAACAGCATCACCTGAAGTCTATTTTGGAATTTCCACTGCCAGCAAGATTGAAATTTATCTACAATGTGGCAGGTTTTTCAACATTTCCAGAAAAGACATTATCCCATAACTATCAGCCTGACAATAAAGTTGTCTATCTGTAATGGAAAATTGAGGACTCATGGTCATGTTTTTCACTGCAAAAATGTTTCAAAATGAAGTAAAACAATACCATTTTGTTGTGAATAGCACATGTCTTTCATCAACTTGAAATACCAACTATAGATTTGAAAATTAAAATAATGAGAGGTTCATGACATATCGTTCCTTTATTCAGCATTGAACACAACCCACTTACAAAGGGCCATGTAGTACATTTCACAGCAAATGAGATTTAAGTAATCTATTCACATTGGTTTCTAAAGCATAGGAGGAAAAATAGAATAGGCTATTACTGGCTGTTGTCTCAGAAAAGGTGACCATTGTGTTTTTATACCATTTTAACAAAGCACTGCAAGCAGCTTCTTCCTCCCTGGGTCACATGATATTGGTGTTGGCTAAGCACTGAAAATATGCTGAAGGTTTTAGAAGATAGAAGTAAAGAGGAACTCTGAGCTGAGGCAGAGACCCAAAGGTAGCTTCCTTTGGTGTCAGCAGCCTCTGGAGTTTGCTCCCAGGGCATCCAAAAGCTTCATGGAGCATAGAGGCAAGACATCCCTACAGTGCCTCAGGCAGGACTAATGATAACAGGACCATGGCCCCCTCTTCATCTTCCAATTTCCTATCAGATGCCTCAAGCCTGCCCTCACAGAAAGTCCATGTAGGATATGGCTGTGATTGAACTAGCTTCTTTGGAACTGAGTTTCACTAGGAATTGCACCATTAAAAGAAAAAAAGTCTCCTAAGCTGCAGCAAAAACTAAAAAACTCTCTCAAATTTCTCCACAAGAAAAAAAAAAATAGTTAGGAGTTTTATTTTTATAAACCAACCATATCTCCTTCTATTTTAGTTAATAAAATACTATCAAATGCTACATTAACTTCTCTACATGAAACATAGTTTGGAGGAAGTATATTCTATTCCAAATATGTCCAAAAAGGGTCACATCTGACCCAATCAATATGCTTTTTAAAATTTCCATCTGCAAGAGAAATGTCACAGTAATT